CAACATGTGAGCTTAAATACTCAGGTGTACGTAACAGCCAGCTAGAAGTTCAGTTAGTCATCCCACTTTCCAGACTCCTAATTTCTCTTAACCTTTGGGACCTGTCAGTCTTCTGTCTCTGCTGCACATATTTATATTTTTAACCTGGTTACCAGTTCAGATGCTACATTCAACAGTAAATTCAGGAAACTCAGGAAATGCATGAATGGAGGTAAAGTTAGGGTATGTGCTTCCTGATCTTCTGTGTATCTCCACTACAGGCAGTCTGTCATGGTTTGAAGACACTATGGAGACAGACACATCACCTTCAAGCCTATACAAGCAAAGATCATCACTGTAGCCTATGGACTCACTCACCTTCAACCCGGCAATTTCTCACACCAGTATATTCATGTTCAGATACTCCAGAAGAATCCTGAGGGTCTGCACCAGCTTTCATGACAAATGGTGTAATTGATCACCGTTGCATGGACACGCTAGGTGAGGTTTGATCTGGAAGTTGGAAGAAATAGTGGAAGGTGGAAGAAATACCTCGGAATGAAAAATAAGATCACACACTGAGGAATTATCAGCAGCAAAATCCATTCTAAATTTATTTCAGAATTCAAGAATGCCTGTCTGACTGATATGCTACCAGTTTTACTCATAATGACATAGTTTCACAACGGAGCTACAACTTAGAACTTTCCATGAGTCTCAGGGAAAACACCATAGTAAGGTAAGGTATTCCAGAGCCTTTATTTATTACTCATATTTTCCATCATGTCACTGCATTCCATAAGAATTCCATACCTCCTCCTGTCTTCCCTGTAAAACCCCACCCTTCATAAAATATCTTCAAACCATGACCTCTTAAGACCTCTTCTCTCTTTTACTATTATTATTGAAGCATTTATGGTACTTTGTCCCGACAAAATGATCTTTTATTGCTTTGGATTCTGGAGACACCGGCGTCATATTAACCTTGAGGAAATGGTTACCTTACCAGCAGCAATCCCACAGATGGAAAGTCAGAGAAGATCACCCTCCGTTGCTCCTGGCGACAGATATTAGCGCAGTGCTTAACAATGTCAGGCCCTTTGTGCCCTCCAGGTGAATGTGGAATTGTGGGAAATGCACCTCAGCAAACCAAAAAACCTCCACAGTCCCACACGCGCACACACACACAGACCCATACTCATATCTTTGTGGGGACAGTCCATTAATTTCTATGGGAAAAACCCTAATCCCAACAACCTCAACCCCTACCCAGCCCTAACCTTAACCTTAACCTTAACCTTAAGCGACCAAACAAAAATCAAGACTTCTGGCATTTGATTGCATTCACAGATCTTTGTGGGGACCTGAAAAATGGTCCCTACAATGTCAAAATAACAGGTTTTTATCACATTGTGGGGGGCATGTGGTCCCCACAATGTTATATAAACATAATCCCCACACACACACACACACTGATTACAGTGCCGTAGCGAGTAGCAGAGGCTTAACTGGACACATTCCGTGAACCCGGACAGGCATGTGAAGCGCAGTAAGAGATCACAACAGCAACATGACAGGACATGACCGGCTGGGTATCACCGAGGCGCTCAGGGCTGCTAGGAACCACGCCAGTTCCCAGCATGCCTCTGACCACACGGCTGCCTCATCCTCAAGGTTTCAAAGGCGGTAAGAGAAGCCAGTGTGGTCCCCCCCCCCACCTCCCCCCCAGGATGTTTAGCTGTCGTCTGTCACTCTGACCTCTAGCTGCTTCCGCTTTGGCCCCAAGCTGGTTGGGTTCATTACGGTGCTCTTCAGCTTGGCCACCTTCACCATAATCAGTGTCACCACGTATATGATAGGGTGCCCCCCCCCCTAGCCGAGGTAAGGCCAGGTCTGACCCCCACGTGAGGGCTAATCTATCATACAGAGTGCTGGTCAACCCACCTGCCTATGGCATCCTCTCAGGGTGGAGCCAGCTCAGCAAATCATTTTGTTTTGGGGGGGGGGGGCTTTGGTGAGGCTTCCCAAGGGCACCACATGGGCGGTATTGATCATATGACGTTTCAACTTACTGTATTTTTATGTTAGGATTAACATAAGGGAATCTCTCTGTACCTTACATTCATTACATTGCATTAATAATATGCTACAGATAAATACATACAGGTGATGTCTTACCAACAACTGGCTGCAGTTCCTTGGAAGAATTGCTACCTGGATCTGAGTTGCAGAAATCAGAAATGACCCCAACAAACCAGACACTTTTAGGCTACTAGTCTGTGTTATTTATGCTCTGAGGAAATTCATCGATTGAAATGAATTTAGTTCATGCGATCGAAGCATCTCTCTGTAATAGTCAGTGTACACTCACCTAAAGGATTATTAGGAACACCTGTTCAATTTCTCATTAATGCAATTATCTAATCAACCAATCACATGGCAGTTGCTTCA